GGGGGGGGGGGGGAAAGAAGCAGATTATTTCTGGGAAGGCTTTGGTGAGTCGGTGAGCTGAGTATGGCTGACACCTGTCAAGGATTCTGGGGCTATGATAGGGGAGCGTTCAGCAAGAAAGGATGTAGTAACGAACACACGAGGAAATGTATGCTGCTCCACTGTGTGAATGCAAATATAATCCATTGGAGGCCATACAACCACTGAATGACACATTTCCATATTTCTAAGATTCAGAAGTGACTCTCTGCAAGGCTGTGGTAAATCCTGGGAACACTGCCCATAGCCTCCATGCTGCAGCCAGCGACCTCTCTCAGCCCTCTTTGGACAGATGTTGAGACCCATGGCTGCAGGCCATGCATTCACAATCGCCTGGGCGGACACTGTGGTTTTTGGAGCTTGTGACCGATTGAGGCTCCAGCACGCCTTCTGGGGACTTGTTTATGTCATACAGTCCCATTTGGACAGACTGCTTTTTTTTCTTGGCAGATAGGATATAGCTACAATGTTCCAAAGTCAGGAATGAGAGTCTGGAAGTTTCCACAAAGTTTTCTTACCCATGGTGAACAGCTAAGCCAAGTGTAACCGATAAGACGCGTCATCGAGTTAACATGGAGCACTGAGAATGAGTTTGTATGTAATACAGTCTAAATGCTCTAGTTGTGAGTTATAAATACTGTGACGGAGATGAAGACAGAGCGGCTGTGGGATAAGGTTAATGCAAAGCTTTTTAATGAGACTCTTGCTCTGTCCTGACAAGAATTATTCTCTTCCTGAAGGACTGGTGCTCCGCCAGAGTGCTCCTTCAAGGACAGATAGCGCACTAACCCACTTTTAAAAAAATGACTGCAAGAATAGCCTCATACTCCAAGGTGTTATCTTTAAACACTTTCAAAGACTTACAGGGTGCAAATTCATCCCCACAGAAAAAGGGATCGGATCATTGTTTAGGTAAGGTTCAGTCTAACATAATTTAGAATGAGCTTAGTCTGGAAATAAAAGTAAAGAGTTTTTTTTGTTGGGGATGACACTTTCATTTAAACACATACATTTTACTGATGTTCAAATAGCAATGTGAGCTGTTCCAAGCCACAGAAGGTACCATCTACCATGCTCCTACTGCTCTGAAAGCTAATATTTGTTATTATTAATAAGCAGGGATGCAAGGAAAAGAGGACAAGCAGGATGTCATTTCTTCTTTGCACCTTTTTGTGTCCTTATTGCTCAGTCTTGGTTTCCGGCGTGCTTCTTAGCATGTGGCGCCTTTAGGGAGTCGTGGTGATATTTATAGCGCGATGGAGAGGAGAAGAAGGAGAGCTCACGGTGCTTCGTTCACAATTACACAGAAATTCCCAGCACGGTCACGCATTTGGCGGACGCTACATCCGGCGCCGAGTTTAATCCCTGCGGTCCCGCAGGAGAACCAGAGTGTGACCGAGGCGATTACTGTCTGCTGCTTCCTCAGCAGACTGGACGAGCCAGAGCTAACAGCCGAAGCAGTCACTCGCCTGTCCACCGTGGAATAAGGTATGATGGTGCACCAATGTGCCCCCAGCTCCAGTGAACTTCATCGGTAAGGAGTGGAAGGCAGATTACATGGCCGCATGCTCGAGCTGCCAAGTACAGGAACCTGTGCAGGCCGTGTGTGTCCAAATGTGGATAAACATGAATAAAAAAAAAAGAATACAAGCAATTTTCTTTTTTTTGTTCATGCAGTTATAGGTAGATGATTTGAGTGGGTTATTTTGTGGCGTTATTAAGTCTCAGCAACGGTTTATTCTGTTTATGTAAACCCTCAAAATAAGTTTAAAAAAGATAAGATTTAAAAAAACAAAGTTCAGATTTCGTAATGTACTTTAAGACTCACTATTCATGGCTATAAAGCTGGAACAGATAGCTGTTTCTGCAACATTTCTTATAGCCCAAGGCCTCCACATCCTCTTCCAGCCACCTCATCACCTTCCCCAGCAGGATTTCTGAGCCGCAGCCAGACTGGGGTGCAGCTTGGGGCCACCAAACTCCTCACACTGTCAATTTCCTCCGAAGACTTACTCTTTCCTCTAGGCACTGGCTTGAGTCATGGATTTTCCCTTTTTTTTTATACAATTTGAATTGCAGCTCAGGCAAGGCACCATGGCTTAAAAGTCCTGTCTGAAGCATGGTCATTACCAGCGGAGTGCTTAACCCCCTTAAGGGAGGATAGGGAGCAATGCAATGGGTGGGAAAAAAGCTGAGCTGAGACAGGCTCCAAATCTCCTTTCTGTAATGGTATAATATCCTCCTACACAGTCTTATTGTGTGTCTGCTGTTTCAACGCTCCGGCTCCTAACCATGTCCTGAAAACAGCTGTTGGAGTCATCTGAGTCCTAAGAACAGCCTGACAGGAATATAAACAGATCAGTAAAAATTTTAGATGAAAACAGCAGTAAACATTTATTTGCTCAGTGAAAATGTAGGAAAGTGGAAAAGTTTCCAAGTTCAATCTTCATAATGTCATTGGGTTACAAACTCATCAAATAAAAGTTAACTTAAAGAAAAATCAAAGTGTTTTTTGCTGGTAGAAGGCCATTTCCTACTGTAGTTTTTAAAAATCTTATTCAGGTTATTATACACAAGCTTCACTGTTGTGCACCCTACAAAGTTACAGAAGATCATTTTATATGATTTAGTGAACTACAAAGAGTCTTGCAGTGTGTGCGCCATTGAAAATGTTGTATTGCACAATACACAGAGAAACACAAAGCTCAAGCTCTCTGAGCACAGACAGGCCAACAAAAACAGCTGAGCAGAGTTCAGGGACTTGGAGTGAGATTTTGTGCTGGCTAATTTGTTCATGCACCAGGGAGAGGGAAAGGAAGCAGATGGAGCTGTCATTAAGAACAATGACCAGCAGCTGTCCGCCCTGTTCGACACACTCAGACCCCTGGCCTGGTGCTGGCTATGTCCTGGAGTCCCTGTAAAACCTGTATGGCCGAACTATGGCCGAGTTTGTAACAAAGTAAATATGAGAAGGACAGAAAAAGCTAAATGCAACATCAGTCCTCTGCAAACGTATAATCTTAACTCAGTGCAGTGGAAGATTTTGCAACATGATAACCATAAATTTGTTTCTGGAAAAAAAGCCACTCTGAAAATAGTTTGTGTTGTTTGAAGACTTGAAGAGCTGGAATTATTCAAATGTATTTTGTCTTTTTTTAATACAACAATCTTCCCAGTGGTTCCCAACCCTGGTCCCTGAAGAACACCATCCTGCATGTTTTAGTTGTTTCTCTGCTCCATCACACCTGATTCAGTGGTTTAATTACTTCCTTAAGTTAGACAGAAGCCTGTTAATCACCCTTTCATTCAAACCAGGTGTGTCGGAGCAGAGGAACAACTAAAACATGCAGGGTGGTGTTCCTCAGGGACCAGGGTTGGGAACCACTGTTCTATGCATTATTTTTTAAGTTCTATTATTATTTCTACTGCTGAAAGTTGAAGACGCTGGTGTTGTCCGTTTCTGTGTTCATGTTTGTAACCAAAATATGAACTCATGAACCACTGGCCAAATTTTAACAGAACTTTCAGAAAGTAGTCATGGGATGTACATATACACCAGATTAACTTGTGCAGCTAATGTGAGATGAGTGCCACAGCTATTTGGTATTAGTCAGCATAAAACATGACTAAAATTTAATCAATTTTAGAAATATTGAGCAATAATTTGATGTGGCAGTAGACGAGTTTCATTCACAACACATACTCTAAATGTGCCGGATTGTGCAAAATGTTATTTTCAAGGATTGACTAAAACAATGATCTTTGGTCAAAACGCTGGTTAAAAAAAAGCCATTGAGTGATATGCATTATTTCAAGGACAGCTAGGCCTTTATTTTCCCAAGAGTCCCCAATAAAATTCTCAAATGCACAAGAAGAAGATGATAAAGGGTTAAAGCACAGGTAACATTAGAAATGGTTCGTTATTATGGTGCATAAAAAATGACTATGCTCTCTTTAAAATTTCAAGATTTTAAATCTAAGACTTGGTCAATAAATCATCTGGTTTGTACCAGGTAGACGAGCAACAATACAACATATTAAAGTGAACTGCTTCGCTGTCTGAAAACATCCATGAGCATCGATGCAGTGCAGAAGGATCAGTTGCAAATATTTTTATATTTAATATAGATTATACAAACGTTGTCAAATGCATATAAATGATGCACTGTGTGAGTGAGATGAGGAGACACCAGGCCTGAGCTGCTCCGTTTCTGATGGGTACATAGCTTCTGTCATCCAACTGAGATTTCATGCTCATCTGACCCCGGAGCTCCTTCCAGGCCAGTCGCTCTCTGCTTACTTAATTCCTCCATTTCTCTTTGCTTACTGGGCTGTCGGCCCAGCCAAAGTCACATTAAGAGATAAGGGGGAGGAGACCAAATACCAAAAGCATTAGGGTTATTAATCAACATTAAGAAATGTGGGGGAGAGGCGGCGAATTTGGAAAAACACAAGCACAGACAGAGTGCATTTATCAAGGTGACACGATGAAACTCACATTTACCAAAAAAACAATGTTTCTTCTGGTGCGTTGCCAAAGGCAGAGAATAAAGTGCAACAGCAGACAACATTTGTTTGATGGTCGGGAGATGCATGTTGGAGAAACAAGAGCAAATATTGCTTCATTGCAGAGAACTATTTAGTCTTTTTTTTCCTGAAATTTCCTGGAATGCGATTGATTTTTTTTTTCTCTAGAGTATCGGAAAAAGCTTAGACTAATGGCTGATGGGACTGATTTTTTGAAAGGCTCATCAAACAGGCCTACTTTCTGTGATCTACCAACCTAAAGACAACTGGTGAGTCATTTAGAATGAAGGAGCAGACGTTTGTGTCATTTCTGCACCATTAGTCGACATTTATGTCACATTTTGGGGAAAGAACATCACATTTATGTTTATTTGTTAATTTTTTTTTTTTTTTACAATTTGAATTAATACATAATTCAAATTATCTTGAATAATGCAATTTGTTATAATCATTTTCAGAATGGAATTATTTTGTTTTGTGTTGGGCGTTTGAACCAAATTTGAAGTTAGTTTTAGTTCGCATTACTCCAGAAACGGCGAGTCTGTGAATAAAACATCCGAAACGTCAGTCAGCCTAGACACTTTTGAGTCCTCTCATAATCTTATGTTGAAAAAGAATGAGGTTTAAAGTGCCTCATGAATATTTCTGAGTCACATTGGTTTTTAATGTCCACTGTGAGACCCGCCACTCTAGGGGAAAGGAAATGGAAAAGAGATGGTTTTACCTGAGCATGTGTGTGTGTGTGTGTGGGAGTCGGAAGAAACAGATGATGGAAATGTCTTTCAAAATGAGTCTTTTTGTATTTCTAATTAGTAACCTCTCTGACACCACTGACACGGCAGTCAAGGGCCTCAGCGTCTGTGAGACAGGGGGTCAAATGTCCTCAAAAATGACAAATGGGACGTTTTCCATCTTTAACCCCTCTGAGTCGACGATATGAGGTATTCATCTACTCAACCCAACTGGTCAGAAAGCTTAACGTGATATTAGGTGGAAAGCAAGGACTTTTACACCCTCATTCATGTAAACAACAGTGGTCCTATAATATAGTGAAGCACATGGCTACAATAGTAAATATTAATTCAACCTTTATTTATACAGGTTAGTCTCATTGAGTCACGAGGACTCATTTTCAAGAGAGACCTCTTTTAAACAAAGAACACAGATGAAGTACAGACAACAAAAAAACATATAAAATGAAAAGTAACTCAAAGCAGTGACATAAAATGAAATTAAAGCAAGCTACATTATGAAACAGGGTAAAATACTAAAAACAGGAACATGCAATATTTATGTAATATGTAATATTTTAAAGATGAATGCAGTTTTCATCGTGTGAAACCAGTAAAACCTTTATCCCTCACTTGAAATGAAAATATCATTACGTTATGTTGTTTATTTGTCATATGCAGGTTAACACAAGGTCAACAGCGCAATGAAATGTTCCGGATGAGAAGAACAGATTCGACTCGCTAAAAACAAAGAACAAACAAGAAATACTAAAGTATGCAATAAGGGTACAAAATAAAGTAATAAAAAGCAAAAAAGAAATATATAATTTTTATAAGGTCCAAAAGAAAAATAGTTAACAACAACATGGTAGAATATAACAGTGCAAGTAGGATGAATTTGCATGAATAAGTATTTCACAGGTAGTATTACAAGTTTAAATGCACATGACATATATTGCACATAACTAACAGGTTATTGCACAGGTAATGAGTAACACTGAGATGAATTGAATTTTGATGGTAAGGTAGTTACATACATGTTGTAGACATATGTGACATACATGATACAGCCACATAGTGCAGCAGCAATAAACATATTAGGTGTCACAGATGTGGCTTAGTGCAACATTAATGTCAATTGTTCAGTATTATTGTTGAGAGTTCAGTAAGTAGAAATTATTTCTAAAATCTCAATTTAATGGTTTTAATGTCTAATAAAGCAGTATCTTAGCAGCATCATTATTGTAGCAATAAACAACATAACATCTAATCAGTTCAACATTTAAACAAACCTCAAATTTGTACAGGTTCTTCCAAAAGAGTGGGAGATTAATAATTGAAAATATAAGAAAATTAGATTGTTTTTGTCATTATAGCAACATTTAACTGCTCAGATACCCCCTTATGGGGGAGTGGTGGTGCAGAGGTTAGAGAAGGTGGGCCTGTGATCAGAAGATCGCTGGTTCAAGCCCCGGTACTGACAACATCAAAAATGTGGGTGGGGTAGGTGAAGCACTCATACCTGTCCCCACCCTCATTCGCCCCACTCTGGGCTCATGAGCAAGGCCCTTAACCCCCATCTGCTCCCTAAACAGGTCTCTCGAAGTCGAGTTCTCATGGCTCAATGAGACTACCTGTATAAATAATGGGTAAATGAAAAAAAAAAAATTTAAACCTCAATCACATGTGTCCAACTCAAGGCCCAGGGGCCAAATGTGGCCCTCACCGACATCGTATCTGGCCTCCAAGATGATATGTTAAACGCAAAATATTTTTATCACTTGAATTTTTTCAGTAATCTTTGATTATGATGTCTAAAGATTCTGAAACTGGCCTTTAGTTTGAAAAAGGTTTTCATTTTGGCCCCCTTTGTAAGTGAGTTTGACAAGTTGATTGCAGCTCCGATGCACAGTTGAGGAAACTTTCACTAACCTTGGTGTCCATAATGGGGTCCTTGAGGTCCATAGAGACCTGCAGGGCCACTCTGGGAATATGGTCCCATACCAGCATACATCGAACCCCCAGGTGATGGGTGTGGGGACATTGGCGGTCCAGACTGTGGGGATGTAAACTGGGAGCCAGACTGGTTTCTCTGCATGCCAGACACTAAACCTGAAACACACAATCAAACAGAAAAGGCGAGGTGAACTTTTTACTTTTAAAAACTCTCCAGCAGTGACCGTAGCCACTCGGTGAACTTTAACCCTTCAACTTGTAAGTACATTTTGACGAATAATATAACAAGAAATGGGGATAAGCCTAAACATACAGTATGACAAGTAAAGGGATCACTCAACATGAAATAAGCTCATAGAGCGCATTTATTGAATGTTATTGTTGGGAAGTCCAGGTCAAGTACACACCTGCCCGCAATGATGCATGTAGCTGCAAAAGCTGATTGTACATCTAAAAGAGTGGAAATGCTTGAGGTAAAACATGAGCTCCACTCTCCACAGAATAGTTACTGATTTGACCATGGCTTCTGTGTTATTCTAAGCCGTTCTGTCAATAGACGTGTCAAAGCCTCTCAGGCCCAAACTTGCCTGCACCATTCAAATTGACATTTGGAGTGATCCTCGCCTGGGCTTTGCGCTTTCAAGCTGAGCCATTCGTTTCTTAAAAAACCCCAGAAAGGTCTCCCAATCCACCGCGAATGCAGAAAGGTTGCCGGATGGCCATTGAGGGAAAAGAGAGGCTGTGTGGGTGTGTGCACGAGTTCATTGTTGCAGATTAGGTGCAAATGGATTGGGTTTGCTCAACTGTAAACTTTGATGGCTATCCGCTTTGTTGAATGAGAACACGCAGGCCGACTCTTTAGTGAGTTCGGGGAAAGCCAAAGTCGACGCTCGAGTAATTTTTTGTTTCCGCAAGGAGAGCAGGAGAAAACGGGAGGATGGAAGCAAAAGTTTAAAAACGCTGTTAAGTTTACGATTGCGCGCACATACACCCAAATATGCATATTTGCGTTTCTGGGTGTGCGGCGTGGAGATAAAGAAAGAGAGCAATAAACGCTCGGCGTGTTTTTTGTGCGCGCGGAAAAAGAGACGAAGGCCAAGACATAAAGAGAGGCAGTGAGAGAGAGAAAGTGTGTGTGTGTGTGTGTGTGGGAGGGAAAGACAGTGCAGCGAAAGGAAAGAGCGATTGGGGGCTGAAAGTGCTTAGGCTGCGAGTGCTGGGTTTAAGGAGCGAGGACATTATTGTAATGTTTTGCTTCCATTAGGGTAAGGGGATTCTGGGAGAGGAAGAGAAAAAAAATACAGAGTGTAATACCGCACTTTAAATTGCCTGGAAAATGGATGGGGAGAGAAACATTGTGCAGACAGTGCTAAAAGCAAATAACACATTCAAGGATTTTTCTCCCTCTCTTTTACTTCGTTCCCTCCACGCACGCACAAAAACATAAACCGCTCTCTTTTTCAGGCTAAGCGAACGGCGCTCTCAGTCGGACAACAGGCAGGTGGCAAAGCACGCGAGAAAAGTGAAGGGGGGGGAAAAGGGACAGTCAGTGGATTTACGAAAATGAAGAGGGGAGAGAAGCTCTTAGGGAGGCCAGCACTTGAACAAAGTGGGGTGTACTGTTTGTGTAGAGGACGAGGAAAGAGAAAGGGGGGTGGGGGGTAATCTTTGCAAGAGAAAGGGCACAAACAGCAGCCGACCCTGTTACCCGTGCTCTGCTTTCCAGGACTGAGCTGAGGGGTTTAGAGGCATTAGAGAGCAGCATTAAATCTCCAACTTGATTTCATCATGTTGGGAAATAACCTTTTACAGTGCTTCTATCTCCCTCTCGCTCTGTCTTCATCTATCCCCCCCCTCCCCCCTCGTCTCCCTGTGGTTTTAACTGCTCTTTGGTGGGTGATAGAGAGCGACCATCGTGGTCATTCCATTAGGGTTACTTCCCTGTCTTTTTGCAATTTCGTGTGGACGCAGGTCTTTTATTCATCTGAACAATTTTCCTGTTTTCATCAATATTCGTGAAGTGGTCTTAATTGCTGGAAATGACTTCCAGTTTGGCCTTTCGGGTTCATGTAACAAACATTTGGCAACCCACGCATGCCAAAACAAATTTAAACAAAGTCCCAAAGAAGCTGACTGGATGTTTACAGTTATATTTTTTTAACTAAGCCATAACTTTCCATTATTTTGATGCTGGCAACACATAAAAACCTACTTTCATGTCACATCTATAAGTTATTGAGTCTGGTTTGGTTTGTCTCCCTGCTCAGTTTATCCCACAAGTATCAAATAATGAACATATTTGTACAAGGTACTGGTGTAAAATCAGTAGTATTCTTGCCGAACTATTTTTACCAAATCAGTAAAATCATATTTTGTTTTGTGTTGCAAGTTTTGAACTCTGCGTCCTCATCCCGACTAAAGAAAACCTTTCATTACAGCCTCTGTTATTCTCTAAACTTAGCCAACATACAATTTTTGTTTCCTCTTTGGCCTCTAATCTTCATGCACCCATCGCTGGTGTGGAATGTGAAGAAACACATTGTTTTCAACAGAAATTTTACTGCTATGCGTTTTTTATAGCAAACTATGTGTGCTGGATACAAGAAATAGCAACATAAAAACTGGATTATCTAAGAATAATGCTTCAAGTTTAAAACACACACACAAAAATCCTAAAAACACACATTTATGTCCATATACAGCATTCCTGTTTAGCTTTTAGTAACGGTCGTCTTTATCTTGTTCCTGACTTGGCAAAACATTGATTCCTGGTCATCACTAACACATTGGCCTCACAAGCATTTACAATGTAAGGGGGACACACTGGTGGTGGTGGTGGGGTGGGTTCTGGGGCGTCCTCCCCCAGAAAATTTTGAATAAAGTAGATGCCATTTCCTGCATTCTGGTGTATTTTAACAGGTATTTAAACATCTACGTTTACATACATAAGTAAACATAATAACTATTTAGAGAGCCTGTCAGAATGCCCCCGCCCCCCTCCCGTGGTAGACAACTGCTAGCACTAACGTAGCGCTAAGCTAGTGGCGCACAATACAGACACGCCAGCTAAGATGCTACAGACGTAGCGCTCCGCTTTTCTCAGGCATCCTAACCCCCCAACCCCGGTCAACAACTTCCCTCAATAACGTGGTGCTAAGCTAGCACGCAACACAGAGGTGTCTCCCCCTCCTCCCCCCACCATGTCAAGTGACCTCGGAGAGACACTGCATGAGGTGTGGTGAGTAGGTTACCAGGAAAACACGGAATGGACTTTTAGTGATTTGAGTATTCTCCTATTAATCAAGTGGAATTGATTTGTTCATGTAGCAACAGAAAGAGCACTGGGTGAACTAATATTCTGTGATAAATATGGGGGGTCCAAACAAATATTTTTTATATGCGAGGGGGACACGTCCCCTTCACATATAATTGTTGCGATGCCTATGCACTCACATATATTTATATTTAGTATATATGTATATTTAGTTGATGTTTTTCTTAGATGTTATTGCTGTTTTTCTTATACATTTTATTGTTGGATGTAACTGGGACCCCGTGTACATAATTTCGCTCCACCACATGTACCACATGAGGTGCGAATGACAATAAAGAAACTCTGACTCTGACTCTGACATGTACACTACATGGACTTACCTCTCTCCTGAGCCATAGGCGAACGTGTGATTGGCAGATGGGCTCCATCTGGTCCATTCCCAGAGTTTTGTGGGGTCATTGTAGAACCTGAAAAACAATGAAAGTCAAAATTTGAAAATCAATATTGATTCAATACACCTTCCATTGTTCCAATCCTTGAAACAAAAGCTGCCATGAGAGAACAAAGTGTTTATCATAAACTGAAATCGCGTCTTTGTTTGAAAGTGAGGTCATCAGAAATTTGATTTAAATTCTCTTTTCGTCCGTTTTGCTAGAAAATGGCAGAAAACTGCACAAAATTATATAAACAATCAAGCACTTGAATGACCACTTTTGTTTGCCTCTCCAGATATTTTTTCAATGGCACGTTATTTAGTTAAAGTTTTCAGTAATTTTAGTGACAAAAGAAACAGAGTGCCTTTGGATAGAAAGTTTGATGCCAAAATCAGCCTTTGCAGACGCACATAAAGCCGTGTGTGGCTCACTATTAGCTAAATGACAAATGCAACACAAAAGGACCCGTCAAGACATCGGATCTAATGTCACTTCTTTGTGTAAGCATTAAAACTCAGAGCGGACCCCTGCAGTAAACCAGAGCCATTTCAGGATCGTCGATTTGGTGGTCACTGCGAGTCTTTGGGCTGCAGCTGCTCCATTGAAATCCAATAGTGAGTTGAGGATCTCATCAGGACAATGGCAGACAAAGAGTAAGGTGGATTGATTTAGCCCAGAGGAAGGAAAGAGATGGCAAATTGACCTTTTATCTTAGGATTCAGACAGGAAGCAACAAAGAGAGGCAATTACATGAGGGTTTAAACTGGACTGGTGGCAATGCCAGTGGTTGAGTTGGCTAATTCAGTTATTAATATAATGTAAAATTGCATTTCCTGCGAATATACAGTGTGAATGCTTATTGCAGAAGAACTTGCTGAAAAAAAGCTGAAATTAAAAACATGCTGAAATGTAGCTGAAATGGAAGAACAAGCATACATTAGCAGCAGAAAGCATAAAGAACACACACTTGCTGAATTAGGTTTAAATAAGCAGAAACAAACAGAAAATTTAGAATAAAAAAAAAAAACAGCTGAAAAGTACCTGAAAATTAAAAAAAAGCTTAAACTACCAGAAGGAAGTGGAAAGAGCGCAAAGGTGCTCCAAAAAATATGGAATTAGCTGAAAATTCTAAACTAACATAAAAACAGCTAAATAGTAGCTAAAATAGCAGAAAACGTTAAAAGGAGCATAACAAGCTGAACTTAGCAGCACAAAGTTAATTAGGCTGAAAGTAGCAGAAATTACCATTAAAAACTTGAATTTATCTGAAAAGAGCTACTTAGCTCAAAAATGCTAAAAAGCTAGCTGAAAAGGTAGAATAAACTTAAATTAGCAGAAGAAAACAGAAAGAACACGTTTGCCCAATTAGGCTGAAAGAAGCAAAACGAGCAGAAAAAGTGGACATTATCTGGAAAATCTGAAACTAGCAAAAAAACAGCTGAAAAATAGCTTTAAAAAGGGCAGAAAGAAGTTGAAATTCCAAAAAGGAAGAGGAGAGAGCACATTTTTGCTGAATTAGGTTGAAAAAAGTTGAAATGAGTGCAAATAAATGTAGAATTAGCTGAAAAAGCTAAAATTAGCATAAAAATGGGAAAAATTAGTTGGAATAGTAGAAAAATAGTAGATACTATAATAGTAGAAAAAGCTAAAACTTGCAGAAATAAGCTGACAGACGCACAAACTGAAATCAGCAGAAAGAAGTTAGAAGGGTGATGTATACTATTTTGTCTCTACAATGCTCTTAAAGCCGAATGAACATTATCTTTACAATAGGAAAAACATTTCATAACAGTAGAATCTGTTGTTTCAAGATGTGAGTTTCCATACATGTGTGTATGAGTGTCTGTCCACACCGGCAGTAATACATGACTGGAGGTGACACACTCTCCACATAAACAAACCCAATTAAGTCAACATAATTGCTTTGCATAAAAATGCATAAACAACATTTCCATCTATCCGCCGCCCACTCACACTCAAGCGCGCACAAACAAGTAACATGCACAGACGTTAAAAGTAATTGCACAAACAAGTGTAAATAAACCCACTAAAGCACACAAGAAAGCACATGTAAGAGCACAGAGGCACATAAGATACTTACTGAAACATTTGCACACGCACACGTAAACACACACTCACACGGACCCCCTGCATCACACTTGAAAAGCTCCAGCGGCGCTGCTTCAAAAAGAGAATATTCGATTAGTCTGTCACCGTGTTGCAGGAGAGAATGGGAAATATTAGTATGCAAACGCTGAAGCAAGTATGAGATAACATGAGAAACATGGCTACGTGCTTCTAAGCGTGTCTGCATGAACATTATTCTAATGCGCTGCTTTAATAAAAAATACAGCATTATGTTTAGATCTGCATTTAAAGCTAAAAATAAATGTAAAGTAAAATAATACAGAGTGGCTTTGCATACAATTTGATCAAACATTTCCAAGGAATGTTGTTCACTTGAGATGTAAACAGTCAAATGGTATCTGTAAGTGCTGAGCCAGCTGTGCAGTATGAACAAAGTCCATGTTCTGAACTTGCATGTCTCGCTTGTTAGATACCCTGATTGTATACCCCAAAAAAAGTACAATAGAAAGAGATACGTCACTGATAAAAACAAAAAATGTTCATCAGCCTGACGTGAGCATCACAGCCACTGTTCGGAAGGAAAGATCTGGGAATATTTCAAAGAGATAAAGATGGCACCAAGTGATGAATGGCAAAACCCAAATATGGAACATTAAAAAGAGGAGGAACTATTGTGACAAGATAAGCCCCTGCAGGGCATGGATCAAAACAGATCGAAGAAGTGGCTGACATTGAGAAATCCTAACCCGTGGTTAAAGAAGGCTAGACTAAAGGACAGCATGGTGCCACAAAGAAGATGAAGAACAGAGTCTTTCATACAAGATGGAACCCCAGGTGCAGAATGTACAAAGATCCTCAGAGTTCAGAACATGAAAGCAGGTTGCGAGAGTTGTATACAAAGAATGACATATAAAATACTTGTGTATAGTAACATCTGTGCTGACAAAGCGTATGGGAGGACCCAAAATCAGAATGAACCAAAGATGTAAGTCCTGGCCAGCCACAGCCTCTACATCCATTTTGACTGCCTTGAACAAAAAAAGGATGATAGTTGCAGTATTAAACATTTTATTTGAATTTTGGCTTATTTGATTAAATCAGTCACATACAGCACTGTACTACTGATTAGAAAATGCATTGCTACAGTATTTGAATGCATACAATGCAGATAAATACTCTGTTTTAGGCTTGTATTGCTAATAATAGTTAGCCTGGTTACTGAACACAACAAATGGCAAAGTCTTCTGGTTTTCTGAGCTGTAGCTGGAACACAGTTAAGCTGAATGTGATGTAATTCCCAGGTCCAAGATCCAAAGTAAATGGAACACACAGCATGTGGGACTTTCATGTCCAGACTGACAAACAGGGGATGGGTAACCAACCAGACACTGTGATGGTCGACAAACAATGAAAGAAGGAACAATATAAGAGCCATAAAAACCTGTAGAAATACAAAGACTTGAAGGACGAACTAGTGAAGTTCTGGAAAGTCAAATCTATGGTGGTCCAGTTCATTCAAACACTTGGGGACAGGGGATGGGCAACCAACCAGACACTTGGTCGACAAACTATAGAAAGGGATGGGTAACCAACCAGACACTTGGTCAACAAACTATGGAAGAAAAACAACATAAGAGCCACAAAAACCTGTAGAAATACAAAGATCTGAAGAATGAACTAGTGAAGTTGTGGAAAGTCAAATCTATGGTGGCGCCAGTGTTCATTCAAAGACTTGGGGCGGTGACACTCAAACGGTGAGAGACACAATATTCTGTGTTATACTGAAGTGCGTTATAATCTTAAGCAGCCTGTGTCTTTGTCTGACTGAAGCCTCGAGTGTGTAGTGAACAGTCATGGCTACTTGTTGCCAAAGCAGCAGACTGAATGGAGTGGTGGTCAGAATGAACGATGCCAGCAGCAGTTTGCTGAACTCTTTAACTACAGAAATTGACCCCACGATAAAGGCCAGCCTTTGCATGTGTGAGTGTGTGCAGCATTACTGCCAGACACCTGCTCTGCTGTCAGACTCTGTTTGCTGGGAAAGCAGAGGAGGAGCGGCAGGAGCTTACTCTGTATGAGTGTATGCTGCTGTGAAGGTAGAAACAGGGAGTATGCCCTATATGCTCCACTAATTCCTACACAGTCACCAGAGACGAAAATGTGTGCAAAGAAGAGTGCGTACATTTGTATAAAAGAAAGAGTTCATCAACATCGAGAAAGGAAGGGATTGAAAAAACAAAGGACTTGTCTGAGAAAAGAAAACCAAAACCATATTTCAGTATAGTTGATAAGTAATCATAAAACCACTCCCTTCTCTCCTTCCAGTAGATGTGTAAACTTTGCACACTTTGTAATCACTGCACAACCAAATAATGTGCAAACAAAGCCCCTTCTCACATTTTCCTCTCTTCTTTACCCTCTCCTCTTCATAATTTCCAACAAGGTGCCATTAAATAATTATGTCCGAATAAAACAAACATGCTCCGCAGTGAGTCCTGGCACTTTTAATCCACACCATTAATAATTCATGGGCTGGATCTTTTGACGTGCAGCTCTTTCCCGTGCGCTGCCAAGTGAGGAAAGAGGAGAGAGCTAAATGTCAGCAGGAACTGACTGGATACCTCTGCCTGATTGCAAGAAAAAAGCAAACAAAAAACAAACAAACAAGTAAACTGTCTTTGCTAACTATGAATAAATATGTAAAACACATAAACATTATGGAAATGCTTCAGACATTGAGGAGCCAGATCCAACAGACTGCGTGCACATGCACACTTTCTCAGCTTTATTGTATTATATTGTATTGTATAGTATTTGCTTTATTATCTAGAAATTTAAAGAAGCAAAACTACAAAATTAAAAAGACAAGGTCCTCAACACCAGAGCAGCCATCCTTACAGACAACCAGTATTAATATTAATGACTATAGCTGTTTATAGCATCAT